AATCATATTAAAGCATTAAAATATAGCTCCCATTAGCTGCCCAAATCGTTTTCATCAGAATCATAAGCATTTCTATTACCATGGCTTTGGGTTAGTGATGCAGCACCAGTCAAGCTTCAATAAAAACGTATTCGTTCTAGTCTGCAGTTTGGGGCTTGCCCAAAATATCTCATCTATGTTTCTTTTCGAACCAACATATACAGTCACACAGCTTTTTTTCTGGCTAATACCGAGAGCTTAATGCTGCTCTTGCAGTGGATTGCATTTACATGTGCTGCTCAGGCCTAGCTTTTCCTTGCTTGTGCTCCTGCAGGTTTCTGGCTGCCAGTGAAGCGGGAAGGTTGCAGGTATTTAACCCAGGATTCCCCTTTCTGTCCTGTATTTCACGTGCTCACGATTCTTCTCCCGAGCCATCATCCAGCTGGCAGCTGGTTGGGACTCTCCCACCACCCTAGGTCCAGTAATCCTCCGGCGAAAGGATCTCATCCAGCCTCCGAGCCTCCTGTGACACCCCCAAATGTGGGACAGTTGCAGCCCTGGAAGGGGAAGAGCCTCCTAGTTGCAACACGGTCAGATCATCTGCTCTCCCGCAGGCCGGTTTCATGCCAAGCAAAGCTAAAGTTCTCTGCTAGGAAGCAGAGATGCTAATAGGATCTGGCAGCCGGAGACGTTCCTTCGAGACCAAGCCAGCAGCCCTGACACCTTGTGATCGGAGCTCTGCAACGCTTGGTGGACAAACCCCGCAGACGTCGTTCGGGCCGAACCTGGACAGCTTTGTCACAGACACCGTGAGCTGACAAGGCAGAGAAGCAGGAACCAGTCGTTTGTGATTTGTCTTGGTGCAGAAGTTGGGAGGCAGCAGATGAAGCTGCCAGGTACTGAGAGAGAAGAGGGAGACATGTCTCCTGCAGGGCACGTTGCTGGGCTGAACAACCGAGGGCCCCAGAGGGATGGCTGGTTGGATCAGGACGGGGTGTCTCCCTCTGGGGCTGTTTCTTCCAGGGGAGAGGGAAGCTCCAGGTGACCAAGGGGGGCATCAAGTCTCCTGTTACACTGACGTCTCTTTTCCAGCTCCTGAAGCAGGCACCAGGCCCGGGTAACTGGGGCTGGAAGATGCTCTATAGCAGATGGGTCTGGCACGATGGTGCTCAAGAGACAGCCTTGCAGCTAATTATGCACAGCAGTGTGACTCTGTGCCTCGGTTTCCCCTGCTGCCTGTACTGCTAGCAGAAGGCTCAGAGGCAGGTTGCGGGAACCTAAAATCCTACTTTAATGCAGAAGCGGGTGCCCAGGAGGAGGAGGGAGCCCTGAGCACGCTGAGCAGGGAGCACAGCCACGGCATTTGCACCAGCCCGGCCCTGGGAGAAGGGGCACTGCCAATGCTGCGATAGGAGCAGCGAGTCAGGGCTGAAAGGGGCAAAGCCATTTCTAAAAAGACTTGAAAATCCCACCCAGTGCTCAGCTCACATCCCTGCGGGAGCGCGGGCCTGCCCGTGGGCAGCACTGCCGGGTCCAGCTGGGAGGATGGGCATGGATCTGGGTGAGCCCCCTCCAAGAGCCCTGGAGCCATGCACATGGGTGGGCTCGTGGTCCAGGAGGGTCCTACCCATCACTGCTCCCAGAAAATGTATGTTTTTGGGATGCTGTGCAACGCAAACCTCTCTGCTGGCATTTGCCAGCGCTGTGGCCCTGGGGCTTCTCGAGGAGTGGCAAGAAAAGCCTTTTCTTGAGTGGTGATCAGACAGGCTCTCCGACGGGATCAGAGGCGGCCTGGCTGGTATCTCTGATCTTCAGATTTTCTCCAAACTGGAAAAATACAACCCTTTGAAAATTTCATGAGGGCGGCAGAGAGCTGCCTGTCTCTCGCCGCCGCTCGCTTTTGAAAGCCATTTAACTGTGACTGCCGTGACAAATGTCAGCGGGAGGCTTGCACTGGGGGGAGAGCAGTGAGCGAGAGGGCACAGGAATTAAAGGATGAAATATTTATTTGGGGCTTTGGCAGCGCTGGAAGGACGACACATCACAGGCGAGAGGCATCTCGGGGCGAACGGCACTGAAAGCCACAAATTAGACAATATGGCTATAAAATGAAATGAGATTTCCTCTCCCTCCCCACCTCCCACCCCTTTCGGGCAGGATCACCGCCTTCCAGAGAAGGTGCAAGGAGGGTTAAGCATCCAGGAATGGCCCAGAGCTGCTGAAAAACACATAGAAATGTGCTCTCTGAGGCAGGCAGGAAGAAGGAGAATAGATACTTCCAACGTGGCCTTAAATACAACCTATAAACCCTCTTGCCGTGATGCACAGGAGGGATTCACCTGAGCCCGGCCACCTCTGAGCCTGCTGGCTGGCTCGAACCCTTCCCGGCTGGTTTTGGTTGTGGGAAACATGCAGGACCCACAAAACAGATGATTGCTACAGATTGACTAGCAACAGATTCTGGCCAGGACCACGGGCCAGAGCCTTCCTCTCCCTCCAGGCTGCAGGTTTGCTCCTCTGCTGGCCCTCAATCTGCCGGGAAAGGAGAGCAGGGAGGTAAAACCCCCCCTGGGATTCGGCCCCAGGTGGCAGGGCCGCGGCCAAGGCACGATTCCTGGGCTGAAGGCTGCCTCTAGGGCAGGCTTCATGTGTTAATCAAATAAAGGAGCTAAATTAAATTCCATCAGCCATCTGTGCCTTCCCCTTTCTTGCTGTCTGGCCCAAGAGCCCCCTTAGTCCCTCAAGGGCTCATCTCTTTCTGGGACTCTTTCTGGGTCTGGCTTTGCCTCCCTCAGCCCTGAGATATGCCTGAATATCATCAAGGGTTAATGCAGGATTATCTCAAGAAGCTACAGCCTCCCCAAGAGTGCAGAAGACAGCGACTGGCAGGTCATTAATCATGGAATTACTTGATAACTTTAAATACAATCATGTAATCAGC